TCTACAAACTGTGGTGAAGTGTCCTCTCTTTTTGCATGTGTAGCATTCCGCATGTTTGGCAGGACATTCTTGTTTATAGTGTGGACCTCTTCCACATCTGTGACATTTTTTACCTATGTTTTCTTTTCTTTGGAATTTTTGCTTGGGGCCCTGACCTTGACCTTGACTTTGACCTTGCCTGTAAAACTTTCCATTCTGTAACCTGTTTACTTCTGAAACTTCGTTTCCAGTACTTTGGATCATTGTATGCGACTGTGTCCTAGATGACTCATATGCTCATCCTATATCTAGACACCTTGTTAGGGTGAGATTTTTGTCTTCCAAAAACTTTTCTCTTGAGCTTTCTTCTCTAACTCCTATCACCACCTGATCTCCAACCAAGCGGTCTTGCAACTGTGTGTCTCCGAAGTTGCAGGACTTGGCTAAGTGGCGAAGTTGTGCAATGTAGGCCTCTATTGTCTCGTCTTGTTTTTGTATCCTCATGTGAAACCTGTAAGACTCGTAGGCTTCATGTGTCTTTCATATGCAAAAGTCGTCAAAAGCTTGTATGACGCTTTGGAGATTTTTCTTATCTGCCTCATCCTCGAAGTGGAAACCTTCGAAAATGTCTACAGCATCTTCCCCAATCGTCGCTAGAAACACTGTACATTGGAAAGCTTCTTCTTCCTTGTTTAATCTGGTGGCGATCGCATAATTTTCGAAGTTTCTCTTAAACTTTTTCCACCCTTGTGCTAGGTTTGTGCCATCTGTTACGTTTAATTTTGATGGAAGGGGTACGTTGGCTGTGTATTGCTTCTGCTGGTTTTCCCTGTTATGTTGTGCCATTTCTGTTCACTTGTTGTGGAACTAGAAATCCAGAATAGATCTACTCAAATAAAAGACTTTAAGTCTAGAAATCTAGAATCTCCAGACCCAAACAAACAAACAAGTCACAGTCCCAACTCAACACTTTTCATAGTTCAAAACATCTAGATTCTAGTTAATCCAGGCCTATTACCACATCTAGATAATCTACTTCTATCCAGATCTCTAGTTTCTACTTCCAGAATCCAGATCTAGATCTAAAATCCTTCCCGTTTTCAAACAGTTAACTGCCTAAACCTAACTAGTCTAGACCTCTATTCTCACAGAGCACTGTTCTTGACAGATAAACTCTAGGACTTCATTGAATTTGGGTGTTTTCTTGTAGCCACTTCTGACACCATGTAAAGTTACCTGGCGGTCCGATGAGTCGGGTCTGTCAGGGGGCCCCGTCCAAGATAAGTGTTGCCTCGTCGTGGTCCTGAGTTCGACTGAATATCTCAGTGAGTCTCTCAGACGATGTCTGCCTATTTCGCGCCGGACCCTTGACGTCATCCAAGGGCGTGCCACTCTCTTAATTATCTTGTCCCCACAGTAAAGATAAGAGTAATGTCCCTTGACATCACACTACTACTACTACTACTACTACTACTACTACTACTACTACTACTACTACTACTACTACTACTACTACTACTACTACTACTACTACTACTACTGATATTATTATTATCATTATTATTGTTATTATTACTATTATTATTATTATTATTATTATTTATTATTTTTATTTTTTATTATTATCTTCATCACCATTATTATTACACCAAAACATTTTTAAAAACCTAAACTTGTTTTCCTCCACTGTGATAAACAGCAGTATGTTTTTAAACAGAAGCCATTATTAATTATCACTCAGTCAACTAAAACACTCTATCAGTCTTATTATGTTTTGTTTTGTTTGAAATATTGCCAATGTTTTACGAAATACGGTCCATCCCAATGTTAGACTCCAGAGTATCAGGAGCACTGCCTAGCAAGGCAATAGTAGCTCTTATCTTCACACTTTTGAAATATGCACTCCTTTGTAGTTCTGACTCCGGTGTTCTTTCTTTTAACATTGAATATTATTATGTTCTGCCCAATCCCCCCCCCCCCCCCCCTCTCTCTCTCTCTCTCTCTCTCTCTCTCTCTGTCTCTCTCTCTGTCTCTCTCTCTCTCTCTCTCCCTCTCTCTCTCTCTCCATCCCTCTCTCCCTCTCTTTCTCTTTCTTTTTTCCCCTTTTTTCTTTGTTTTCTTCTCTCATTCTTCCTCTTTTTCTCTGTCCTTTTCTCTTTCTTTCTTTCTCTCTTTCTTCCTTCCTTTCTTTCTTTCTTTCTTTCTTTCTTTCTTTCTTTCTTTCTCTCCCTCTATCTCTCTATCTCCCGTCCTCCGTGACTGACGAACCGAAATTAAATTCAGAAATATCCCCCCACCTTCTTTCTCTCTCTGTCTCTGTCTGTCTGTCTGTCTGTCTGTCTGTCTGTCTGTCTGTCTGTCTGTCTGTCTCTCTCTCTCTCTCTCTCTCTCTCTCTCTCTCTCTCTCTCTCACACACACACACACACACACACACACACACACATAGACACAAACACGCATACACACATACATACACACACGCACACACACACAAACACACACACACATCAATGAAACGAACGAAAGAGCACTCAAAGTTGGGAATCAATAGTTTATTAACAACGCTATTTTTCGTAGACAGTATATATTTACGTATGTCACAAATTTGGGATACTGCCCTAGTTATGTCAAAAATCTGCGGTAATAGTGCTATTCTAGTTGCGATGGCTGCTAATCCAGGAGAGGAAGGCACTGACTCTAGTGTAGAGGCCAGGGACTATGCCACATTGGTTCTTAGGTCCAGCAGAGACGATACCGTATTGGTAGTATCGCCCATCTGCTTCCTTGCACACCAGAGGACCGCCAGAGTCTCCCTAGAAGAGATGGGTAAAGAAGTGGTCGAGAGAAATTATCAGATTGAAATACATAGATGGAAAGAACAATTTTGTACCAAAACTATACCGGCCTAGATTTCTCAGCAATTATAAATAATATAGATTTAAATTCAACATGGGAGCGCCCCAAACCCAAAAGCTTTTTCCATTTTAACACTCTGAAAATTGCAGCTTCGATTATTTAATTTTCTCTTCTTTGCTTTACATCTCCCCTTTTTGTTCTTTACTGTGTACATGCACATGAATCTTTTCCCATTCAATGTTCCTTGACGCAAGCATAAAAGAGTCGGGAAAAGAGAATAGAGCATTCTAGGCTATTAGATTTGATATTGCATTTGCAATAGTAAGACACTGTGTTCAATCCGGCTCCTCTGTACCGTGTACATTTGGGAAACGTACCTCTCTTTATTCTCCAGAGTTTGCTAAGCCGCAAACAATAATATATTAATGGTAGGGCCGGAAATAGCACTGTGAATGACAGAGTACTGCGCCAAACAGGTTGCTATACTCTACACGGGTGTTTGTATATTTCAAGTTTCTTTGAAAATATTATTTATTGCTGGAGTTTTCCCTCTATAGCCAGAACAAAGAAAACACCCCTCTTAATAAATACATTTACTAGTCTTCTTGATCTTCAAATAACTAAGTATGATGTAACGCCAGCGTCACTCTGAATGCATAATGAGAAGGAAAAAAGGAGGGGGGAAAAGGGATAGGACAGGAGGGGAATCTTGACCCAGATTAACCATTTATCTATTTTCGCTTAAGAACAAAGATCTCCCTTGCTTACATCACAGGCATCCTTATTGTTTCCCCCGGCACAGAAAGTGGTGCTGTCGCTGCCATACTCGTCCCTACACTTCTGGTCTGTGGCGATGTTCACTGCTGCCCAGAACATGTCGTCCGGTGACTCGGCATTGCGCCCGTCTGCGGGAGGAAACATTTACATGAATTAATGGTAAAAAAATCAACCGAGATAAACTTACAGCGGGAGGCCTGTCAGGAAAGTAAGGGGGAAAGTAGTCACAACTGAAAAAGTTGACTTATAGCACATATATATCACATTTACTTTTGATTTACGGTATACTTAAAAAAGATGCACACTACTTGCTATGACTAAAGCACCAATTGTACCAAATAACCTAGGCATCCAAAGACATACAGCAGGGAAAAAATTTCACACTAGAGGATGACCTTTCAGTAGAGTTCTGAGATTAGCCTCACTGTTTTGATCAGAATTTGGTCAAAATGAGTCTGATGCGTCGTTGGATCTGTCTGACTATCTGTCTATGCATCCATCCATCTATTTATCTATCTATCTATCTATCTATCTATCTATCTATCTATCTATCTATCTATCTATCTGTACCTCGCTGTCTGAACGATCTTTCCACAAATCTCTTTTTTGAGCCTCCTTGTATTGACTTGTTTTGCTTCATCATCATTTACTGCAGTTCATCCTGTTGGCTGAGCCCTCTTGAAGACGCCAGTAAAATAAAATAAATAGCGTATAACCACTCACTGCTTGTGACTCCCCATCCCATGGTCTTGCAGCCAGAAGCTTGCTGAGGTGTCTTAGAGCCATCCACCAGACATACTGGACGCTGGCACCGGTCAAAGGTCAGAGGTTTGCTCAGTTTGATGATGGCAATGTCGTTTTCTAGGAATAAAGGAACACCTAAAGATCAATCCACCCCTGTCTTATGCATTGAAGAAATAAGTTGACAACAAAATTAAGTAAACTCTTCATACGCATTATAACATAACGTTTTCCCTGCTTTCACCTATTCAGTCATTGTCTTTCTTGCTCTCTTTCTCTCCTCTCTCTCTCTCTCTCTCTCTCTCTCTCTCTCTCTCTCTCTCTTTCTCGCTCTCTCTCTCTCTCTCTCTCTCTCTCTCTCTGTCTCTCTCTCTCCCCTCTCTCTCTCTCCCCTCTCTCTCTCTCTTTCTCTCTCTCTGACTTTCTTTCTTTCTTTCTTTCTTTCTTTCTTTCTTTCTTTCTTTCTTTCTTTCTTTCTTTCTTTCTATCTAACTTTCTTCACCATTTCTTTCTTTCTTTTTATATTTTTCTTTTTTTTTTCTTTCTTTCTTTCTTTTTTCCTTTCTTTCTTTCTTTCTTTCTTTACAGATGAACTAAAATTAAAATATAAAATTTAAACTGAAGTTTTCATGAATTATGTGTACTACATTTGAATTTAGCTGCTACCGGGGAATTAATATTTTTGTCATACTTATTGTATGTTACATAATACATGAAACAAAGAAAATCAAAACAGCAAAAACAAATGTGATAATGACAGTAGACATGGAGAGAAAGTAATAATAATTATAAATGCAAGAAGGCAATTGTTTAAAAAAATAGAATCTTGTTTGGCTGTTTGAGTAATGACAGCCCACACTAAGCTCACTCACCGAGATCACCGTTGACGTTGTATTTCTCGTGCACGGTGATCTTGATGGCACTGTTGGTACGGAGACCGGGGGGTGGAGGGGAGTCAAAAGTAACCTTGGAAGAGCCGGAATAGATGACCATGTCAGACGGGGCTGAAGGAACTTCCTTTCTTTGGCTGGGGAAGACACAGGAGGAGAAGGGGAGATAAGATGGCGTCGTTTATAAAACTGGTGAAATCGTTATATATCTGCAATTGCTGTTATCAATATTGTAGTTCAATGACAAGATGGGCTTGACAGCTTTAGGTCAGAGGAGACCAGAATAGAAAAGAGAAAGTAAAAAGGTGGGGTAAGAAACAAACAAAAATTAAAATGACTTTAATAGTGTTGGTCACTTACCCCGTGATGTCACCAACCAAAGACACGAAATATTGATGGGTTTGGATCTAATAAGGACTTTGGGGGAATGAGCACATGCGATATACTTGCAGAACTGAAAGTGCAGTAAAATCTTCATTCACACAGATTCAAATAGAACTCCTATGCACTCCCATTTACCCTTGAACTCAACCATGTTTTACTCAATACAGAATCTTACAAATACCTCTTTTTATGTGAAATTGATATACGTTTAACGCCCCTATCAACACAGTTTAGTTATTTAAGAAGCGGGACCTCCGAGTTTAACGATAGGGTCGAGTCAAATTGGAAATTCGTGTAAAGTGCCTTTCCAGAAGACAACTACCTCTCAAGCAAAGTCAAGTAAAATAACAATAAAAAGAAGTCCATAAAGTTCTTGCCTGTTCGGGTTTGAAACACAATGGCCAGCTGTGAGGATCGTGCTCTCGTCGATGATGGACCCTCCACAAAGGAAGCCGTTCTTCTGGTCGTAAACCACCACCATCCACGGGTACTCGCAGCTAGCGGACTTGGTGCCACCGACGATTCGGAAGTTATTGGCTTGTCCACACTGACCATTGCTTGGGCTTGGTGTATTGTTAGAGGGTGCTGCGAATACAAATATGTAAAATGCCTTTTTTATTTTGAAACTAGAACTTTTTTTCTTCTATATATTTTTAGTTAACTGAGGTTATAATGCTATTTAGTGGTAAGAAACATATTGTCATACGATACAGGATCTTAGTAATGCATACCTTAAAGTACACCCCCAGAGGTAACTGTTGCTCATGTATGGCGTCCCACTTTCTGTTGTTATTCTAGAAAGTTTTATTCTTTAACAAATTAGAGGCAAATAATTGGAAGATATTATTTTGTGTGGTATTTGTCTCGAGATTGGGAAAATAGACTATTTTTTATCTGATAATAAACAGGATAATTCCTTTGTATTATGTGGATGTACATGCACCTTTAACAAATTAATGGCAACTACACGTCTCTCTTTCTCTCTCTCTCTCTCTCTCTCTCTGTGTGTGTCTCTCTCTCGCTCTCCTCTCTCTCTCCCTCCCTCGCTCTCTCTCACTCCCTCGCTCTCTCTCTCTCTCGCTCACTCTCACTTTCTCTCTCTCATGCTTTCTCTATCTCTCTTGCTCTCTCTCTCCCTATCTCTCTGTATATGTGTGTATGTATGTATGTGTGTGTGTGTGTGCGTGGGTGTGTGTGTGTGTGTGTGTGTGTGTGTGTGTGTGTGTGTGAGTGTGTGTGTGTGTGTGTGTGTGTGTTGTGTGTTTGTGTATCCGCCTTCAAATAAGTGGACATACCGTTCACTGTTGGACAGGCTTGTGTATTACATTTCTGGCTCTCCACGGCTAAGGAACCTTGCTGTACACAGTCTTTGTTGTTTCCTGTGCTGCAGGTTCGAGATCTAAACAGGATGCCGCCCCCACAGGATGCGCTGCAGGGTCCGAACCCAGACCATGGGCCCCACACTGGTGTGTTCACCGAGCCTTGGGGTTCGGATGTCGAGAAGAACGACCCCCAATAGTCGTTGTCGTAGTCGTTGTCGTAGCCGTTATCGTAGTCGTTGTTGTAGTTGTAGCCGTAGCCGTAATCTGATTATAATAGGATATTGCATTAGCTTTCCAAAATACAACATAACAAAAAGTTGATGTTGTAAAGAACGACTGCCCAATAGTCGTAGTCGTAGTCGCAGTCGTAGTTGTAGTCATAGTTGTATTCGATTATAATAGGATAATACATACGGTACATTAACTTTCCGAATTACAAATTGACAAAACTAAATATTGATTTTTATTAAGAGCTTAAATTTAATGGCTAGACAGAAAAGAGATAAAATGCTGGAAGTTTTTTACTTTTTAAAAAACATGACTATACATGAGTTTCGCTCGCATTCTTTTCATCTCATTTACGAGAAAACAACAAAACAAAACTTAAACTTTTCAAATCGTAGCAATCCACACAAAAACAATTGATCAAGAGGTTTTAAAAACCAATGCAGCAATACGACCGTTGTAATCTTGGATTTAATTTGAAACGCGATAAGAAGGCATACTTTTTATTCACCTCACATTTGAGAAAGGTGACTGAACGGTGACTGACACTCTGTATTTTAGTAAAAGTATTGATCGAAATTATCCTTGTTGATCTCAAAAGCATCTCTACTTTTGTTTGTCTTACCAGAAAGTGCAGTACAGAGCCATAAGATTAAAAACAGGACAGAGACACGAGGAGATGAAAAAATCAAGATCTTGGGGCCCATTATAAAAGTTTAAAATCATGAATTGACAATCAAATCCTGTATCAACTTCACAACATTGAGCGTGGAGACCCTTCAATCATATCGCTACCTCAGAACGGCAAAGTTCAATTTGAGATTTTTGACCGTTTTGAGTTACTAAAGACCATGAGGTCAAAAACCAAATGTTCTATCTGCTGTATCAAAACCTTAAGATTATTTTGAGTCGCTATCAAGTCAAAAAATTTCATTTGAAAAAGCTTGACATGTTGTTTTAGTTTTAGTAGAGGTTTTACGACGCTCGCAACTGCATAAGGTCAAATGAGCGCCAGAAGATTAGAGGTGTTTCAAGAGAGTAACAAACATAAAAAAGAAGAAGGGGAGATAAGGATGATAGATGTTCGATAGGAAAGAAGGAGCAAACCATACCAAAGCACCCGCCAACCATCCACTTGACAAGTTGTGAAACTCAAACTTTCGAACGTAAAATGTCTCAAAATGTACTGTGCATATATAACCTTGTAATTCTGGGGTAGCGATAGGTCACTGCAGGGTGTGAGCCTGTGAGAGAAGAGGAGTTTAAATCAAGTATTTGACAACATCCTTGGTTACAGATTTGTTTAAATTTTTGTAATTTTTTGGGGCATGAAAAATAAAGGTGAGGCGCCTTGGTGAAATCAGGCGCTTGTCAAATAAAGGCATCGAACAAAACCCCCGGCATTTTTCTTCCTGTTTGGCAATTTTTATCAAACTTTCATTTTTTGGCTCAACGCTATTTATGTTCATTTCAAATTCATCGCTCTCTGGCTTTCCCTGAAAAGCGTTGATTGAAGCCGCACACATTTAAATTTACAGTTTTATAAGGATTCTCAATCAAGTTTTGGAAGTTATCAAACTTTGGTGGCCATTTTCTCTCTAATTTTACCTCTAAAACCGAGTGACCCCAAACTCCTTCAATCTATAATACCTCAACTTCTATTGGAGATGGATGTATTTAGCTGTTTCATCGAAAGCAAGACAAATGAACAATCTTTAAGATGATGCCAATAACTCCATAAAATGCCCAACATTTGACAAACGCCTGATTTAACCTCCCCGAGGCACAATCTGAATGAAAGCTAGAATCAGTACAAAGACCAATACCTTGTGCTCCTGCCAGGGATACTGTACATAAGGCCATAGAGAAAGCCGCGAGTATCTGGAAAGATGTTCCCATCGTTATCAAGTTTTTTTTTTATCTAAGTGATACTGTTAACTTTTGTTCCTTCAGACTGAGCAGGGTTTCCTGTCTGAAATGTTCTACTGCGGCCCAACAGTAAGAAGCAACTTGCTCTTCCGACGGGCTGGTGAAGATTACTGGAGAGAAAACATGACTTTTATAATAAAAAGTGTTGATGTATCATATTGATCAATTGTCTTCTGGGGTTTCAAATATGACTTTGAATTTCTAAGCATACAAATGCTATCGTGCAGGAAAGTTCGTGGGTGTAAGGAACACTTGTCTTTTTCCCCATGTATACTGGTGGTTGAGTAGGAGGCGGTAGCATGTTTATCTAATTGAAATCAATTACCATTGACCTTTGGAGGTTGACTGTTGTGAGACGGCCACGCCATTTCTGGTAACCTGAACAATTTACTGAGGAATTGTAATGATGATAGTGGGTGGACAAGATGCGAGTGTTTCTTTTAAAGATCCATTATATTTGTATACATAAAGATATCGAATTAAGCATGTTTGTGTAACCTCTAAGTGAGAGGGGAAAAGAAAGTGGTACACATGATATTATAATTAGGCTGTTTACATTGTTGGTGTCAGCGTAAAGTAGTTGCATGTTCTGCAAAATATGACCTTTGTCGTTCCTTTTGTCAAGAGAGACTTTTGTTGGTATTTTAAAATTAATTTTTGTTTTGGCTTGTTTTTTGTTTGTTCGTTTTTGCGGTTTAATTGCATGCTGTTTTTTTTATTCAAACTAAACAGCAAACCGTCATGTTATAATTTCATTATACAATTCCTCTCCGTTTTAACTCCAAATGTTATACACTCAATATAATATTTAAAAAAATAAAAATAAATGAACTTGTTTTTCAATCACTTAATTAAGAAAATGAACCGCATTTGAAATAATATTATGTTCAAACTGTGCAAAACTTTCAACACAGCATTAACATTGTTGTCTTGTTCGTGTATCTAATTTTTCATGGTAATACATTTGAGGGAATCACTGAAAACCATTCTCAGTCAACCAAAACTTTGTAGCTTGCTTATTGCCAGACCTTTGAGAACCCCTCTCGCTCGACATATTATGTTCCCTCAAAAAGTGAAGAAACACAATAATATTATGTTGCATTACTTCTTACTTGATAAGTGTGTAACACGTCACGTTTTCCTTGCTTTATCGAGAGGTATGTTGCTAATATTATGATTTAAAAAAACAACCATTGATAGGTAGTGTGTTATACACTTCCCATCGATGTCATTTTGATCATATAGGAGTGGGCTGCTTCAACCCCACTAGTCCAGCCAAATATCTTTCAATGGGTAAGAGAATACTAGTTCAAACACAAAACTACTCCATAGAAATGAAATCTCGATGTAGAAGTGACATAGAAGAGACAAACCATGCCGTCACTGACGATGGTTTAACGAAACGCGCACGCTTTACTGTGTTTTAAAAAGGTTGAAAACCTCACAATGTTTATACATACCCATGTGAGGCTTAGATTATTCTTTAAAAGTTTATTTCAATGACGATAGGTATAATGTTTGTTTTTCTTTGTTTTTCTTTGTTTTGTTTTGTTGTTTTGTTTTGTTGTTTTTTTTGTTTGTTGTTGTTGTTTTTTATTGGGGGGGGGGGGGGGGGGGGAGTGTTTTGTGGCACACACATAAGATGATATGTGAGCTCGCGAGACACATTAAACATTTTCAGTTTGGTAGGAATGAATTTTTAAATTTTGCCCCGGTGGCGACTGAAGCCTACTCTTACCGATTTTAGGACCACTAAAGAATCCTTACCGTGCACAATTTGAACACTGCATCTCAAGAGATTTGTTTCTCCCTTAACCTAGAAGTCTAAGCTTTAGGTCTTACCTATCCTAAGATCAGGGGTGTGGCTGAAAGAAAGAAGTAAGAAGGAGCCAAGGAGTAGCAGTAGAAAGGCTGCAGAAATAGTCAGGAGTCAGGAGGGAGCAGAATGGGGGAGGGTGTGAGGGGGGGGGGGAGTGGAGGCGAAAGCATACGACTGAATATGGTTAGAGAGCAGGAAAGGAGGTGAAAGGAGAACATTTTAGAGAAGAAAAATGTCTGTCGCTTCCAGGTTTCGAATCCGGGACCTATTGAATGAGAGGCGCAAACCGTACCCCTAGACCACAAGAGCTCCCGTATAAGATTTATGTGGGGTTGTTTATACAGAGGCGTCCAAAATTTTAAAATGTTTGTACCTAATAATGCAGCGTACCATTTTAAAGCTAACTGAATTTTGCATTCTCTGGTAAAACTGCTGTTGTCGGAAACAAAGATAGATGAATAAAGCAATTTCGATAAACGTCCCCCGAGATAAGGTCACTCAAATTTTATCAAAATCAGACTTGGCAACATGGTGTGAATTCAAAGAAACATTTTAAAAATGTGTTCGCGCTTGTATTGAGGTGCATCGACATTGACTAAATGGACATGCATCGAATATCACCAGAATGGAGAATATTATTGTGTCTGCCATGACAAATATTTTATTACGATATTTTTAAACAGATTGGACAACAAAGGAGTCACAACTACCTCACAAAACATGGATTTCACTTTAAATATGCCCATAGTATCTTTTTTAGGAGGCACCAGTTCCGTGTAAAGCACGAACCCTTTTTGTGAATGGACTGTCTTAGTTTGATTTTGGAATAAGCCATCGGTCAGTGGGGAACAGAGGTCACGAAACTGCCATGATTTAGGGGTAGTCTGGCTGGAATGAACAAAACCCCACTTGTTAGAATCAATGGAATGTTATGTTTGGAGAACAACAATACGCACGTACTGGAACGTTACGTCTTACCCTTATTCCGTTATGGTATCATCAAGTAGGCATCTTTACGACCAAGCACCTTCTCATAGGGCCAGTCATCATCATCATTGCCTTTCTCCCCCTGCACCAGGGTATAGGCCAAAGACAAACACCTTCCACCTTTCTCTATCCTGGGCTAGTCTCTTGATGTTATTCCAGGTCTTCCCACTTTTCTGTATATCGATTTCTGTGATTCTTCTCCAGGTTCTAGGCGGTCTTCTCCTTAATCTTTTACCCTGCGGATTCCAATCCAAAGCTTTCTTTGTTATGCAGCTGCTTGACAAAGCTTTCTTTGTTATGCAGCTGCTTGACAAAGCTTTCTTTGTTATGCAGCTGCTTGACTTCTTAAGAGTATGTCCAATCCATCGCCACCGCCTTCTTTCTACCTCATCTCTGACTGGGATCTGCCTTGTTTTCTTTAGCACTTCCTCGTTGGTGACCCTGTCTGTCCATCTGATTCTCTAACTTTCTTAGACACCTGTTCAAGAAAACCTGGATCCTCTTTATGCAAGTCTGTGATGCGTTCCATGTCTCACATCCATACAACAGAACCGACTTCACAGATTTGTTCGAAGTGAGATATCTCTGGTCTTCCAAATCCTATCCAAAATATGAAAGCAGCCTGTGCTTTTCCAATGCTGGACTTTATTTCAGCACCTGTTCCTCCCTCTCTGTCAATTATACTCCCAACATAGCAGAAGGATTCAACGTCTTCTAGTGCATTTCCTTCTATTGTGACCTGCTCCTTTCGTTGTGCATTTGTCCTTAGGACCTTTGACTTTCCGGCGTGGATCCTCAATCCAACAGACACCGGAAGGATGTTTAATACTGAAGTCTTTGCTTGCATCTGTTCCTGGGCGTGCAACAGAAGCGCCAAGTCGTCTGCAAAATTCAGATCGTCCAACTGTGTCCATGGTGTCCACTGTATCCATTTCCCTGTCCTCTGGTGGTTTCCTTCATCAGCCAGTCGACTGCCAATATGAAGAGGAAAGGTGATAGTAAACATCCCTGTCTCACACTAGTCGTGATGTCAAAGGGCCAATGCCACTAGATGATTTTTGGAAAACTGAATCATAATACTATGCCAACGATGGAGTATGTAGCCCAGATATGAATTCTTAAGATTATGTGGAGCCCCACGAAGAAACGCGACTTTGCTCCCAACTCAGACATTTTGTTTGAAACTCTCTAGGATATTTGGGACGAAATGAAAAAGATTGTTTAGTAGTAGTAGTATAGGGTTTTACGGCGCTCGCAACTGCTACGGTCATATGAGCGCGCAAAGACAGTTTGTCTTGTTTTTGTTTGTTTTTGTAATGTGTTTTACATCGCTCGCAACTGCATAAGGTCATATGAGCGCGCAGGACACACCTAATATTTTCAGTTGGTAGAAAATTTGGAATTTTGCCCGAGTGGCGGCCGAAGCCAACTCTTATCGATTTTAGACCACCAAGGAATCTTTAACGTGCACAACTTGCACACGGGCCCTCCGAGATTTTTCGCCCTTGTCCGAGAAGGCTAGGTGTAGATCTTTCCTACCAGAAGATCAGGGCTGTGGCAGAAAGACAGCAGTAAGGAGGAGCCAAGGAGGAGCAGTAGAAAGGCTGCAGAAAGAGTCAGGAGCCCAGAGGAGGGGGCAGAGGAGGTGGGGGCAGAAAGTGGAATTGAAAGCAGACAACAGAACATTACTAGAGAGCTGGAAAGGAGGTGAAAGGAGACAATTTTAGAGAAGAAAATTTTTCGGTCGCTACCCGGATTCGAACCCGGGACCTTTGAATGAGAGACCAACACCTTAACCTCTAGGCCACGAGAGCCCCCATAGTTTGTCTAAAATTTAACACAGTTCGTGCCTAAGGATTTGTGTTCTACATGTCGTGTCTAATGGCGTCTGAATAAAATTATTTAGTGTTAAGTTCTAGTTTTGCGTTGTATTAGTGACTGCTCTGTTCTCCAGTCTAGTTACTAAATTATACCTCTATGCTCTCTGTGGTTAATTTTGTTAGACGTAAATTTCAACCCTGGTACCCTTCAAGGCCCCCAAAGTTTGAACTTAAGTTTTCATGCCCAGTTGCAAATATCTGTAATGTGTAGGGAGGAATCTTGTTTATTTGTTTGTTTGAGTAAAGAGAAGCTCATTGATACAAAAATGGTCATTTAGTGCTGGCTAAAATTAAAACAGACAGACAGAAACAACAGAGGCAAAGTAAAGAAGGGGGACCAACCACCCGCGGGAAGAGTCTTAAATGACAAAATGCAACGGCTCTTTACTAGATAAAAGATAGGGTACATGCCATGCGCAAAAAATTTGACTGGAAATATTGCATCGGTAATCAGTCGAGCTCGCCGAAAACGACCACCCATTGTTGAGGAAAAATTTGGTCAGCTTAGACTGGTGGTTCTCTTGGACAGTGTCATTGTAATACCCCCCCCCCCCCCCCCCACACACACACAAGGGAGGAGTGGGAAGTGATAGTTTTTACAGGTGACTGCCTTGATCAGATGGTCTTTAGAGCAGTATCGACTGTATTTACCTTTCGTGGTTAGCAAAACACGTTGTTTGTTGATCGCTATGTTTTTTGTTTTCGGGATGAGCACCTCATGTCAGGGTTGCTTGACTGTAATTGATTTCAATTATGTAAACTTACGCCTACTCCTACTCGCGACCGATGTGCATGGGAAAGAATCAAATGTTGCACACATGGTTTTTACTCAGCCGCCTTTGCCTGACAAAAACTTCAAAGTCGTATCATTCGAAGCCCCCGAGAAGGTTGAAGATCCATAAAAGTCCTGTTTTGTTGCAAAATCTTCACAGGCCTATCAGTCGGCAGTAGAGCAACACAGACAGGGGGCGAACTCCCAGTATCAAGATAAAAATACAAGTAAAACTTAACAAGAAAACTTGACAACGATGGGAACACCTTTCCAGATACTTGTGGCTCTCGCTGTTGCTTTATGCACAGCCTCCCTGGCGACAGCACAGGATGGTAATATTTTTGTTGTAATTTTTATAAAGTCTATCTATCTATCTATCTATCTATCTATCTATCTATCTGTCTATCTATCTATCTATCTATCTATCTATCTATCTATCTATCTATCTATCTATCTATCATCCAGTTACAGTAGCTTTAGTTTCGGTTCACACAAAAATCCTTTATACCACAATTAATTATTGCGAAAACAGATTGCTAACAACGGATAAGAAAGACCATAAATACTTTGTTTTACAGTCTCACTTTTTTAATGGCTACTGATCTATTGATTTAAAATGACTGAAATGTGTCCTAAAATAGTAGTCAGTATCAAACCCCTTCAGAAGTTAGGTGGCGGACGTTTTTGTCTGCTAGTTGCATTTCGCTGAACTTGCAAATGACAGACTCGGGTTTCGATTCTCTCTGCATTGGGTATTGCAGCCTTTAGAAAGACACTGTGCCATATTTCCCTCTGTTTACCAAGCTGCAAATGAATTACCATATCGGTAGAAGAAAAGAAATTAATTAAAAACTAAAAATGAGAATGATAGCGCTCAATATCTAATAGAGCCATTCACCTAAGGGATTATAAATATAATTATTACGCTATGGCCCTTGCCATTCACCCGGTGTCCCTCGCGAGAATGAGATATTCAAGTAGACCGAAAGTGTCAGAATAGGGAGGGTTAATATGATGTTAGCTACTGAACGTTAATCTTTTCCATAAATACTTTTATTGAAATTATTAGTACTGCAATACTGTATCCTTAACTATCTCTAATACAGAGTGAGTGCAATTCACCCAATCTTATGGTTTCTCGCCCACTCTTTCAAAATCATATCGGACCACTTTGTAAAAACTATTAACGCTTTGATGGCGTGCACTTTGGTCTTTCAACAACGCTTGAAGTTGAAGTTGAAGACGCAAACTGTTTCAGGGCACTTTAACTAAAGGAAGAAGTATGACTTCGTCAATCCTACACAATTTTCAATTTGATTTTCTTTATCTGAAGCTTGGAAAGGCAGGCAACAACATACATGCTGTGAAATATGCACATTCTTGTTTCTGATTCGTGTAAATGGCATATTTTGATCTTCTGTCGAACATAATAATATGTCCGCTACGTACTTGGAGAGTTAACATCATACACGTATTCTAGAGCGAAGAATGCAGAACACACGGACTAGCACTGCAGAAAATCGCACCAAGATCTTGCCTTGTTAGCATGAAATGACTGCTCTTTATTTCTTGTACGGTCTGACTAGCAATTTGTGTGTTGTACCGTATGTGATGAAAATAAAATTCAGTTTTGTATTTTGTTTTTTTTTCTTAAAATTATAAACAGATTACGAGTACGACTACGACTACGACTACGACAACTCGTTCTCGTCCTTCTCGACATCCGGACCTGTGAACACACCAGTTTGGGGCCCATGGTCTGGGTTCGGACCCTGCAGCGCATCCTGTGGGGGGCGGCATCCAGTCTAGATCTCGAACCTGCAGCACAGGAAACAACAAAGACTGCACAAACCAAACTTCCCTTGCTGTGGAGAGTCAGAAGTGTAATACACAGGACTGCCCAAAAACAAACGGTCAGTAGCGTGTATCTCTGCTTAATTAGATTGCTAGGCAACGACAAAGAGAGATGTTATTGTTATTGTGTATCGAATTGAACAAGACTGTTGTTTGCATATACATACACATAAAACTACGGGAAACGGATATTCCAGGGGTGTTGTTTGAAGCAATACAGCCTTTTTTTTTCTAAGACCTACTACAAATACTAAGAAAACTCAGTACAGTTATTTATATGTCTATACTGAACTGTGTTCTACGTTAAACGGAAGACAGGTTGAAACATAAAATAGGAACTACTGTTCTTTTAATTCCCGCAGCCTAACTTCACTGATTTAATTTTCTAAAAGGACAAACATGCAGAACTAAGCCCATTAATATCAAAGCAGACCAGATGCTTACATATTACTGTGTAGATTGTCTTCTATAGTGCGGTCAAAATTCGTGGCACAACTTATCCTCAAATATCTCTTTGACGGGAGAATCAATATCATCCATACTTTGCACAGCAGTTTATGTCAATTTGTTTTAACTAAATCATATTTTTACAGAACAATTGCGGCTAGATTTAAAAACTTTTCTTCATAAATTTATATAAAATACTTGAAATCTCTGTAACACGTAAAATGGGATTATTCACAGCACCTCTCGCTCCTCACACATTTTGATTGCGCATATGGCCTACGTCACAGCTCACCAATGACAATTTTTTGTTTCAAAACTTGTTACAAGAAATTATTTCTATAGTGAACACATTTTGTGCACTAATGGTTCTCAAAACATGCATCCAATGAGCATAATGTCCTGATTAGAAAAACATGACGGACTTACTATTAAAAACAATATTGCCCCAGCTGTTAATATTAAAAAATCTGTAGAAACCACCCACTTGGATTTTTTAATTTGTATTTATTAAGGAATTTTCTATAAAACAGCTAGCAGGTGTTTACAAAAAAGCTGATCTGTTAAGACAAATTGATACAAGTCGTTGTGCGAAAATTGGAGAACCTATGTTCTATAGTTGAGGAGATATTTGACAATAAGTTGCGCCGCGAATTTCTGACCGCACTATAATAACATGTACAATGGTTACGTCGCAAAAAGCTGTCAAGTGGAATTAACTTACTCTGATTACGCATGGCGTATGCAAATGAAAAAACCAACCCATAAACATTTTCAAAATTTTAAATATTTAATATTATATTTCATCAATATGGATTTAAGGTCTTACACCAGCAAAACTTTAAAGCTTGTAGTGTCTTTTTGTAGACACGGCAATGGTAATGCCATAGCCAATGACGTATTAACTGAAGAGTCGGTACTGCCAACCGTGGGCATTGGGGAAGTTGGGGAAAGGGAAAAGGAGGAGGGTTGTGTGAAGGAATTGGGAAAAGGGTAATGGGTAAGGGCTGGAACGGGAGGGTTAGGGGAGGGATAAAGGGGGACGGACGAGTGGCTGTAGATATGGCGTATGTAATATGTGGGTATAACACAAGAGTTCGCTTATTCGTATTGTCCAACCAGAGAGACCAACTTGGGCCAGGCAATTAAGGGGTTTAAAGCCTTGCGCTACCCACACTTGCAGATTTAAAACTGAAGGAATTCTGCATCATCTGACTTATCAAAATACATGTACGTGAAGATTTGTCCGAAATACGGTCAGTCAAAGCACACAGAGGAGACACAAGTCATACGTCGCTGTTGCAGAAAAGAGGGGATAATTGGGAATATTTATATAGTCACCCTTCTTAACGAAGTTTGAAAGCATCTATATTAAAACTTCTCTCCGATGAAAAAAACCCCCATTCTTTACTCGCAGCCCCTTCTAACATCACCCCAAGCAATGGTCAGTGTGGACAAGCCAATAACTTCCGAATCGTCGGTGGCACCAAGTCCGCTAGCTGCGAGTACCCGTGGATGGTGGTGGTTTACGACCAGAAGAACGGCTTCCTCTGTGGAGGGTCCATCATCGACGAGAGCACGATCCTCACAGCTGGCCATTGTGTTTCAAACCCGAACAGGTAAGAACTTTATGGGCAACATTTTATTTTACTTGAATTTTTCTTTGAAGTATGAGTGAGAATTTGCCGCTAGCCTTATATGGCAGGATTTGTGGGTATCCAGACATGCATAGGATGTTTATTCGCATTCGTATGAATAAACATTTTTCTGCATTTCCAATTCTGCAACAACAATAATAATAATAATAATAATAATAATAATAATAATAATAATAATAATAATAA